AATTTTACATAGTTAAAAATGATTTTCCCCCTTCTCCTTTATCTACCCCCCCAACCATAGGATTGCAATTTAAATTTGAATTTAAAGAATAGTTTTTCAGTATAAGTATGCCCTGTGAACTATCTGAGACATACAAGGTGGTACCCTTCCCCCAAACGGAATTGGGCTGGGCAGAGTGCAGCTTTCATAGCATACATTTTCCCCCACAGGTGAGCATCGAGCAACTCGCTCTGAGTTAGTGCACATAGTGGCATTGCCTGGGAAGGGTTTTCTGGTCACAGAGAATCTTTTTGTAAAAGCAGTTTCGTCCGTACCTCCTTTCTTGTGATGGCCGATCAAAGCGAACAGCATGCAGCTGTGAAGTTTTGTTTCCTGCTCGGGAAAAGTGCTGCAGAAACTGTTGTGCTATTGATCCCAGCTCACAAGGACAGCACTATGGGAAAAACTCAAGTGTAGGAGTGGTTTTCTTGTTTCCAAAAGGAGAAATGTTGATTGATGGCAAACTTCATTATGGAAGGCCATCAACATCTCAAACGGATAGAAATGTCAACTTGTAGTGCATCTGGAGTTGGTTCCACCAGGTCAGACTGTTAATCAAGCTTTCTATTTCGAGGTTCTGAAAAGATTGTGTAACCGTGTGCAACAAAAAAGGCCTGATTTGTGACAGATGTGGGAATGGTTTTGCCACCATGACAATGCACCTGCTCACACAACCATCTTAGTGTGTCAGTTTTTGGCAAACAAACATCATGTCTCTCTTGCCTCACTGCACCTTACTCACCTGACCTTGATCTGTGCGACTTCTTTTTCGTTCTGAGAATGAAGAGGGACATGAAAGGACAGCCATTTGACAACATAGAAGAGGTGAAGACAAAAAAGGAGGGAGGTGCTCTCAGCCATCCAAACAGATGAGTTTGAAAAATGTTTCCAAGAATGGACTCACCGATTTGAAAAATGTATTAAGCGTAATGAAGAGTACTTTGAAGGTGATAAGGTTGTTTTGTTTTTTAAAAAAAAGTTTCTTAAAAAAATACATAGCTTTGAAGAAAAAAAATTCTGTATTTTTTGGGGGGGACCCCCTCATACTTACATACTAAAAAACTTTATTGTTGATCTGAAATTAAAATCAAAGTGGGCATCCTGTATTATTATTGTTGTTGTTAAATCTGACAGACCTATTTTAGATCTATTTTAAATAGACTTAAATCTATTTTAAGGTTAACACATCTTTGGTACTACTAGAGCTTCTGAAATATATGGAGCTTCATATGTATAGAAAGCATATGCTTCAGTCAGGAAATTCTAGATCCTGTAGGATTGGCTCAAGTATTGGAGACATTTTATTCCTTTTATGTTTTTATTTCCTGTACCTTTTATCAATACCATTTTGGCAGTGTGGGTTTTAGCTGGTTGCATTGTTGCCTTGAAGTCTTTGAGAAGGCTAACTGTGAACATGCTAATTAGGTTGGGGATGAAGAACAGAAAAATTGACACCTAGCTTAAAGGGCCCTAATGTGAAAGTGTCTTGCCTTCAGTCATTTCTTCCCAGTTAGCGCATGGCCATTTCCCCCACCCTAAGACACAAAATGGCCATACTAACGTCTTGATAAAGTAAAATATCCCTTCCCCTATTTAAGGAGCCCTAGTGGCGTAGTGGGTTACACATTGACTGCTAACCACAGATCAGCAGTTTGAAACCACCGTCTGCTCCTCAGGAGAAGGATTAGACTTTCTACTCCAGTGAAAAGTTCCTGTCTCAGAAACCCAAAGGGGCAGTTCTATCCTGCCCTGTCCACTTGAGGCAGTGTGTTTGAGTTTCCTTACTTAGGACTATTTCTTGCTAGTCCCTGCCATTTTTCTCATTTCTACATCCAAGCCGCCTTGCCACGCCAACAATGAGAATTATTGACTCTTTTGTCCCACACAGAATGTCTGCTATTAGTGGATTAGTGGACGGCCACACTTCCATGAAAACAAGAACAAGAAGAGCTCACTTCTCAGACGCTTAAAGTTATAATGATAGTTTTTCCTTCCTTTCTTCCTTCCTTCCAACTTTCCCGAGCATGAAAACTTGTTTCTATTAAAAATGTCTGTGTTCATTTATTTCAGCAAATAGGATCCAGAGGACCTGCAGGACAGCATAGAACTGGCCCTGTGGGTTTCCAAGACTCTAACTCTTTACCGGAGTAGAAAGTCTCATCTTTCTCCTTCAAAGTGGCAGGTGATTTCGAACTGCTGACCTTGCTCTTAAAAGCCTAACTCATGAGCCACTATGCCACGTGGGCAAATAGAACAGTGCTGCTCTAAAACAAAGAAAGCCATGGTGGTTGACCAGATTGATCGGCCTATAAATCCACGTTCCAGACATTGAATCCATAACCCTTCATTAATTTAAAAATGGAAATTTGAATTGAGGAGGATGCCAACCATAATTTTGCAACACAAAACTAACTGTTGTGAAGGAAATTAAAAATAGATATAGCAAACCTTCCAAATTCCAACATCCATGAATGATTCTTTTGTAAAAACAAAATAAAAGATTATACCTATATACACAGAACGTAGCTGTGTTCTTTGTTTACATGCGTACAGCAAACACAAGGAGTGCGTGCAAAGGTATCGTCTGCTTTGACATCCACACACCATTGTCTGACTGAGTCCAAGTTTGCCTGTCTTTGGTCTGGACCTGACTCTACAAGTTCTCACCCTTGACTAGGTACCTAGGACTGGCAACTCTCCTTTGTACCTGCAGGGCTTTCTGGAGAAGGAGGATGTGCCGAACGAGGAGGAGAAATCGGGGCACAGAAGCCTGGGGTTTAATATCAACCCCTAAAAGAGGGGCTAAGCAGTATTTATGTAGGTTTAAGTGGAACAAAGCTTGCTATTCTCCTGGTAGTTAGCATTCCTCAGACCACGATCGCCTTCTCATCCGCCATCAGCCTTGTGTTATTATTATTTCCTTTTTCAAGAAAGAGATCGGTTCTGAGTTCCATCTTTCAGCTATTCTGAGGATGATGTAACCTCGTCACCCTGAATGCCCATGGCTGACCACAGAAGAAAAAGCCAAGCTGCCCTGTTCCTGGACTAGAGACACTGGCCAGAAGGGGTCTGGCTTGTCCTTCCACATGACTACAGGGAGGGCAGGAGAAAGGCGGCCCCAAGGTTCCCTCAGCAGAAGCAGCTGAACACAGACCTGCATCCCCAAGGGGGCGAGTGTCCACCTGGGATGCCCCAGGGCCCTCCCATCCGCGGCTGGGCCCACCTCTCCAGTTTGAACAGGAGCTTGGCGATGGCGACGGCGGCGCTGTCCTGTGGACGCCCTTGCACCTGGCCTGGCAGGTTTTCCTGGTGGTGCTGGCTCTTGAGAAGGCCTTGCCTGCAACCGCATGGGCGCCAAGCTCTGGCTCTTCCCTAGAGAGCTCCCCTTCCGACGGTGCAGCCTGCCTCTGCCTCCGCTGCCTCCCTCACCCCTCCTCTTCCTCTCCCAGCTCCCAGCAGAGGGGGACGGAGACAGCTCAGGGTGGCGGGGCGGCGGCGGCGCTCATGTGGCTGTAGGAGTACCTGGACAGAGAGGCCCCCGTGGTCCTGCCCTCCTCCTCCTCCCCCACCTCTCCTCGCCCTCCGGCGGGGCCCGGGCCGGGGCAGCAGGAGAAGGTGGCCATGAAGCCCAGGCGGAAGCGCTTGTTCATGAAGCAGTAGATGATGGGGTTGACGCAGGAGGACGTGTAGGAGAGCAGCAGGATGAAGGAGATGGGGGCGCCCGAGAGGCGGCGCTCGGCCGAGGCCGTGTCGTAGGCGCGCCAGGCGTTGGCGCTGAAGATGGGCATCCAGCAGAGGAAGAAGAGGACCACGATGACCATCAGCATGCGGATCACCCGCTTCTTGGCCATCAGGTTGGCCGCTGAGCTGCTGCTCCGGATGCGGCCGGCCCGGCAGCTGCTGCGGGTGGAGAGCTGCTGCAGCTCCAGCCTCCTGGGGCGCCTGGGCTTCTGCAGGTAACACCCGTCGCTGTCCTGGTAATGGCTGCCGCTGCCCTCGCTGGGTTTCCTTTCTGAATGGGCAAGGGGCAGCACTTCATTGGGAGGCATGCACTGGACGCCCCCTCCTCCATCCCCCCAGGGAACCAGACCCAACTTGAAATGAGGCTGGGGCCTTGGACTTAGACCCAGAGGGGTCAGTATTACACCGGGCAAGTCCTTATCGTGCATGGGAAGCCATTCAACCATGCTTCTCTCTGTGGAAGGGGCAAGGGCCCTGAAAGGATTAGAGATGAGTCCCATGCTGTTCTTCTTTCGTCAGTCAGACCCACAGCTGGAAGGTGGGTAAAGTCTCCAGCCTCATTGTGTGGAGGGAGGAGCTGGGCACGAATCAACAGTAAATGCCCGCAAGATGCTGTCATTTCCACCGTTCACAACGGGCTCAAACCCAAGGGCAATCGTGAGGATGGCACAGGATCAGGCACCTAACAACAATAACACATCACAGAGTGGGACCAAGACTCGGAACCAGAAGGGGGGCAGTTCCGCTAACGAAGGCGAAGGCGTTGGGCTCAGTGTGGGTGAGGAGTGCCATCCGCAGCAACTCTGGTAGCATGGTGGTTGCCAATTGGGCTGCTCACCACCAGCTGCTCTGAGGGAGAGCGACAAGGCTTTCTGCTCCCATAAACAGTCATCCGCTCGGAAACCCACAGGGATCGGTCCACTCCACCCTATGGAGTTCTCTGGGTCAGACTAGATTCAATGGCCATGAATTGTTGGGTTTTTTTAGTCCATAGGGAAGGAACAGGGCTTTGGGTAATCACTGTCTGTGAGAGAAGGGGGCCTGGGGTGAGGAAGAGGAGACTGACACGAAAGCTGGGCTAGGTTATGTAGAAGCTGGGATATGAACAGGAGCGGGCTTCAGAAAGCTCATTAGATTTTTCCAGGAACTTTTGGAAGGCACCCTGTTAATGGCTGCAGAAAGGTGCAAGTGAAGACCAGGGTGATAAATGGGTGATGTTTGCGTCATTGTGGTTGTTGCTGTTAAGTACCGTCGAGTTGGTGCCAACCCGTAGCGACCCTGTGCACACCCGAAGGAAACCTCCTGGCCTGTGCCATCCTCACAAGTGTTCTCATGCTTGAGTTCACGATGTTTGTCTTATCTCAACTCCCCCCCCCCACCCCCAGCACCCTTTGGAGAGGAGCTGTTTCCCTGTTTTGAGGAAACAGAGACACTGGGACCCATGGCTATCCCTTACACAACAGACTCTCATGGGAATAGTTTTACCACTTCCAGCATCCCCTCTCTCCCTAGTCTGCAGGTATATTTCTTCAGGTTAGAGAAAAACGCCTTTCTGCTCTCTTGGCCTAAACGTACAGCTGAAAGATAGTTACCTCTAGCAGACTTCTTCTGGCTAGTGTCAAATTTGATGCCTTGGTAGAGTTCCAAAGAGATTAGTCCGTAGGCCACTGCCATCACAGTTCCAGGAATAAGAAAGAGGATGAGTAACAGGAACGTGTGCCTGATAAAACACAAGAGAATTCAATGACCAGCAACTTCAGTCGTTCGGGTTCAACTGGGAAGGCATGAGGAAGGCTCATCCTTCACTGCTCTGCGTGGACACACTGTTTCCTAGTCTTTAATTTTTATTTTTTTGGCGCGGTGGGGGTTGTTTCCATGTCTGGAGGTTCAGCCACTGGAAGTGGTTTCCTGCTTTTCTTTACACATAAGTCCCGTATGGGTTGCTATGTATTGGAACCTCCTCGAAGGCACCTAACACAGAGCTACTGGAATTGGAAGCAGCTGGTGGCTATTGTGCTGTGCCGGAACCAAGATTCAAATAGTAAGAGCTTACATTCACGGAAGGAGCCCTGGTGGCATAGTGGTTAGGCTTTGGGCTGTGATCCACAAAGTCAGCAGTTCGAAATGACCAGTTGCTCCTTGGGAGAAAGACGGGCTTTCTACTCCTGTAAAGAGTTACAGTCTCCAGAACTCAGAAGGGGCGGTTCTACCCTGTCCTATAGGATGGCGATGGAAGATTTATTATATATCATATATCACACATCATACATCGTACATCATACATCATACATTATATATTATATATACACACACAGTAGGTTAGGCATGTTCTCTTATTATTTCACTAAATTCCCATAATCACTTTAGGTAGGCACCGTTTCCATACTGCAAGGCTGGCGGTTCAAACCCAGCCGTTGCTCCAAGGGGGAACGCTGAGACTCCCTGCTCCTGC